TAGTTGAGGACAACGCTCAGACTTAGACTGCTTAGCCTTAATTCTAAATTCTTTGAGAGGGACTGCAATTGCGCTGTAGTGTCAAGTGGACCACGGGACTGTCGCCAGGGAGCTGCGATCTTAAGACAGGGAGAATTCGCATGGCTTGGGTCACACTGTACTAACCACGCAGAGGGAGTTAGTGGATAAGACATTTCTCAAAAGTAGAAGTTTCTCAAGGAGGAGGTTGTTCAGCAGACAAAATAATAACTGCCTGTCTACTTGCTTTCAAATTTAAGGCTGAGAAATACAAAATTTAGTTTCTTCTTATATAATACTTTAAAAAATTTTATTGTTTGTACGTTAAGGTTCACTAGAGAGAGAAGCAGTGTGCAAAATTTTTTAAAGATTCATATAAAAAGAGATTCAGTAACAAAGGTGAGGTTGTTCCTTTCCTCCTCTTCATATTCACTGAGCTAAGAGACAGGCTTGATTATCACTTGAAACACCAAATTAGTCATTTATGGCTTTGCAACAGTTTTTGTCCTGAAACCTTGAGACACTTCATTTTTAATAAAGTAGTTATAGCAGCCTCGGGGCATGGAAGAACAGCGAGACCTGGGTGCTCTCCGGTCATTTCATTGTGAATTTACCAAAATCCAGAGATTTTCCAGCTTCTCATTTACAAAGAGGGCAGAGTGAACGGCGTTACCATCAGACTCTGAAACTACTTTTTGCCAAGTTCGTAACACAAACCTTCTCGGATGACAGGCAGGCAGTAAACTGTGAAAGGCAAAGAGATGTGGCCCTGACCTCTCTTCTTCCAAATGAGAAGACGCGGCTCCACAGGTGAGACAGGTTCAGACTCCTCAGGGCTCCCTCCCACAGCCTCCTTCTCCCCGCTCTGCCCCCGCAGGTGCAACCGCAGCCCCGCTGCCCGACACGGATGGCGGGCACCAACCAGAGAGGAGTGTCTACCGCGTCCCCGAGGGCTGCTCGCAGGCGGGGCACCATCCCCCAGCAGGATCCAAGCCAGAGCCTCAGAGCTGCCGGGTCACAAACCAGCTGTTTTCTCTCTGCCCTGGAGGAGAGTTTGATTCATCTCCTCACATCTCCCCAGTCACCATGGGCACAACGGCTCCAGTCAGGGAAACTGGAGTTAGGTTCCCCCAGCTGTGAGGAACTGACCACTGGACCCACGATATCCAAATGTGTGTGGTTACTTAACACCAAAGGGTCTAGAAGAATGTGGGCCCAGGCTCACCGTCTCAGCCCACTGCCTTGGTCTTTAGGCTCATGGGATCACCGTGGTAGCTGCAGATTCCAGCAGTGTAGGCAGAACATCTTATCAAGGAAAAGGAGGCCTTCTCCTTTTTTTCTTAATGAGGGAGGAACACAGGAGGCCACAGGCAGACATTCCCCATGAAACAGGAAGGAAGGGGCCAGGGCACAACCTTGAAAAGAATGACAAGAGCCTTTGAAGATGTGACATAAACTGACTAAAAAACTGACTAGGTCCGAGATGGCAGATTTGACTCCCAGCAGACCCTGAGCCTCGTTATGCACTCACTGTAATACACCAGCATACGCTAAGTGACACGCCATGGCATCTCTGAGGCTGATCATCAAAGGCCAAAAAGTGGGTGGTGGCCCCAATCCTGGAAATCTCCTCCCCTTCCCCAAAAGAGTTGGAATAATCCTCCCGCTGTAGTCAGCCTATGAAATTACTTACACAGCCCGCAAAAACTAACCTGGGGCGCTCTCACCTTTTGGGACAGTCCGCATTCCGTCTATGGAGTGTATTTCTCCCATGGCTGCTCTCACTTTCTGAGTCGACCCCATGCCCTGGGGTTGCTCTCAAGCCTTTTGAGACGGACCACGTTCTTCTGCCTGTGGAAAGTGTTCTCTCTCTAAATAAATCCACCTCTTACTTATCACTTCGTCTCTGAATTCTTTCTGCGATGAGACACAAAGAACCTGAGCTTCAGCAAGTCCTGACAAGAAGTGAGCAATTTTAACTAACAGTGGTTTAAGTCCCAATCAGAGTTGTGTGGTTTCACTTGGGGTCCCACTGGCAGGGACTGGTTCACAAGAGTCTGCTGCGGGAAAAAGCGGGAGGGCACGGAAGGGGCTGGCAGCTCAGCAGTGAGCCAGCCTTTGACCCCGTCCCCCGCCAGCCTTTTCCCACGACATCTTCTGACCCTGCTTTTTACCTTTACCTAAATTTGTTCATATATTGTTAAAACATTTATGTTATAAAAGTAATTCATCCTTGTTGTTGAGAATGAAGTAATAAAAGGTACTTCAAAGGGAGCAGTCATTGACAGGCAACTCCTGTTAACATTTTGGTATCTCCTGCTTGTTTCTGTTCGGTTTCTACAGGGAGAAAGGGGGAAGGGGGAGAAGGGGGAAGAGTGTTATTTAAAACCTTCGCTGCAGCTGCTGCAGCCTTTTAAGAGAGTGATGTTAACTCACCACGAGGGGCCTTGATTTTTCATCTGGGAAATGTCTCAAAGGGGGTACTTTAAGGGGGAAACGTAAGTAGCGCTAACCTCCACCCTCCCTCCCACGTGGTCTACAGGGTGAGAGTAAAACATAAAAAGGGCTAAGTTGGCAGACGTTTTAGACATTATTCACTGAAAACCTAAAGGAAGGGTAAGGCTTGCAAATGCGAAGAAAGGGTCACATGTGAGGAGAGACTATCTAAGCGCAAGTTTTGTGCTTCCATCACTTACCTTAAATACAGAGCAACGGTATCCATCCTTGTCGGGCCCTCCTTTGACTTTACAAGACCCATGAGTCGGCTCTTCCCTTGGGCACAAATTCTGCCAAGGGCCTGCCCACTCAAACTGCCTCTTGGCTTTCGGGGCCCACTTCCCATGCTCGCTTCCATCTCCTACCAACACATCCATCAACACGTGTCACCTGTTTTGACTCCTTAAAGGGTTGGTCCTATATTAACTACACGTGGGATAATCAAGCAGCTGATGGAGACTGTGAGAGGGTTCTAATCGCTCACACAAAATCCAGAGGAGCTGGCTTAATATAAAGATGAATTCCCAGTGGATTAAAAGAACCCCAAAGACGTCAGATGGGCCTGCCACATTTCTCATACTCACCCTTCCCCTCTCTCTCTCCCTCCATCCTGCAATAAATGCCTACCCGACGCCAAGAGAAAAGAGCTTTATCCCCAAGCTCACACTCAGAAATACGGTTATAAATAGCTCAGCTCCAGCTGCTCTTCATCTGGCGAGTTGATGGGAACATGATAATGCCAAGACCATTTAGCGTAGAGCTGGGGAAAGAGTAAGGAGGGTGAAAGGGCAGCCCTCTCAGGAAAGGGCTCAAAGCACCAGCTCCCAGTAAGCCAGACAACCTCTGATGCACTGGGGCCGGCCTCAGAATCCAGGTCCCTGAGCCCCTTCTCCCTTTCACGCACTAGGTGTGGCAGATTACTGTACCCCACTATTCCTTGCCCACCCTGTAAAAGAACACAATATTCCTGGCTGCCAAAAAATGACGTGCACTACTTCCTGTGAGACCAAACCCCTGCCCCACCCTGCCACAGACACTGGGCTGGGCATGGGCTTTGCTTTGGTCAGCAGATACAGATGTTAGTGTTTCCACCAGCTCCTTCTCCTTCCACCAGCTCTTTGTCCTCTCCCTCTACAAGAATGGCATGTTCCAAACAGCGTTGCCCTTCAGCTGGGACCCTGAGGTGAGAAGATACACACAGTAGCCAGGGCTGGTAACCAGTAGCCTGCGGTGTGAATGCAAAGAACACATGGTTGTTGTCAACCTCTGAGATCTGGGAGCTGTTCTTGCAGCATAATCTGGCAAAGGCTAACATGCTGGGGTCACAGACTCCATGCTTACAGGCAAGCAAAGTAAATGAGTGAGGCAGAGAGCAGGTAAGACCACGGGGATGTGGCAGGGCTGTGGATGGCAGAAAAGCAGCTGCCTAAGGTTAGGCTCTGTATTAAACTGTTACCAGTTAAAATAAAAGGTGCTATTCATGTGGTTAAACGTCAGAGGCCAAGATTTTAATAACACAGCTGACTAATACTACTTGAAAGCAAACATGAAGTTAAAAACAAAAAATATAACGACCCAACCTCAATGTTTTTCATAATCATTTAACTCTTTAGAGATCTCTTAAGCACCAACCTGTAGTTGAAAAGGAACAATCTTCTAACTGGCAATTACTCACGTTTTACTGCTTTTTTGGGTCTCATCTTAAAGGGAAGGGAAGTTATCTTTTATTTTAAAAGTTCTCCCTCTATAAATTATTTGACTTAGCTTCCCAAATACCAATATAAAGTTAGGCAAATTGGATCAAATCTAATCCTACCACAAAAATAGCCACCACCTGTGTCTTAAAGAAAGTGACTCCCGGGGGGTGGGTGGTGGTGGTGGGATGATTTGGGAGATTGGGATTGACATGTATACATTAATATGTATAAAATAGATAAATAATAAGAACCTGCTGTATAAAAATAAATAAAATTCAAAAAAAAAAGAAAGTGGCTCCGTATGGATGGGAATTAGCAAGGGCATAGATGGATTCCACAGAGTATTTCATTTAATTGATTTTATTGTAACTGGATCAGGTCTGAGAGGAGGGAAGTGGAAATAGCCTTGTTATCAAGAATCAAACATTATAATGTTTCTAACTGAAATTAAGCTTTTCTTATAGGAGAATTATAAATATATGAGTATTACAAGAGCTGACTATATATTTTCAAGTTCATATTTTCTGCCAACAGATTTGATCTTTCACCATCATGTAATCCAGAAAAAAGGAAATCACTTGTCCCGTATCAGGCATAATGGGAAGTTGCACAATCCCAAGAACATGGGGGCAAGGAGTGCTTCTCTTGGACCAACTAGCAGGTCAAAGCTGACCTACATCACCACTCCTATGAAAAAACGTGCTTCTCCATGACATGGAAATCAGACTTGATTTTAGACCACATAGTGGGGCTTTCCTCTTGATGTGAAACCAATAACAATAGCAGCAGTGTTTTTTTCTTCCTTTTTATTCTCAAACTGATTGTTAATTTAAAAAAAACACGGAGCAGTTAACAATGCAACTTGAATCTTTAGTCTTCTCTTTCCAGCTCAAGCACTGAAATATGCCACTCCTTTCATAATATTCTGGTCATCACGTTCTCTCTCTTCTTTCTGGCTTCAGAGTCCTTTCCAAAAGGAAACATGCTGCCTGGCGCTCTACATTACTCCTAATTTCCAGGTGGAACAATGAGACAGATGAAGTGACATCTAAAAACACCAGGGATTATATTTTTTAAAACAAGACAATAATTTAGATCTTCTTGCTTTAATTCTTCTCTATATTACCACGAAGAAATATTTATCAAAGTTCAGGAGATTACTGATATGCAATAATGACCAATATCTACACATTAATGGAGGTATTCATAATAAACTCATCAGTGAAGTAACTGGAAAAGAAGTTTAAATATAAAGAGTGATTTTTTCACTATTCTGTTTATACAGTATTGAAACAACCATAACATTCAAACACCCATAAAAGTGCAAAACTTTAAGTACCATTAAATAATAATTGATAACTGAAATACTGCAACATCCTGAAGTATCTTCCGAATGACCAAAAAGAGATGAAATTTTGTTCAGCATTAACTTCACTTGTTTTACACACAACTATATATTTTAAAAAACTGTAATCCATGTAAGATATACACAAAACCCTGAACTGACTAGATTGTTCAATGAATAATACTCCACACTGCTTTGCTGTTATGGACAGATGAGCTTATAATTCAATGAAACCCATTTAAGAAGTTTTAATCTATAGAACGACACGTTCAAATTGTTTGGTCCTATGTGTTTTATTAACAAAAACTTCCCATTCCTTTATAAGATGTTTAATTCCTCTGAATCTCATCTTTAAAAGGCCTGACTTGATTGTTGTCAAAATAAACCACAGGTCAAGTACAACCCTCCAGTCTCCAGCCTATAGCCTCTTCATGAGTTTCAGTTCCGTGTAAGCCACACAGTGACCTTCCCATGAGTTTTCCATTGGAGATTTCATAGTCTAACTTTAACGTTTTCCACAAAGTATCCCTCCCTTCTCTAGGCTTTGGGTAGAATGTCAAATTAATAATGGCATGTGGTGTTCCTTAGCATAACCTGCCAAAATGTGATAATTTCCTTGGAAGAAAAGCCATGGGCTGCAATCACGCGTCTGAGTTGACAGACATCCAAATGGATCCTATATAAAAAGAAAAGGTTGGTATCTTCTGGAATATGAATGTCCACTTTTAATAAATTCAAACAGATCCCAACATAAACATCTTCAAACTTGATGGGTTTTACGTGACTCATCATTTCATAGATTCTTGGCACCAAATCTCTGGACATTATATAACCCAACCCACTGCAGTAGGGAGGAAACACCTTGAAGGGATACTCCTGGTATGAAATATGGGTTTTTTGGTAAAATCCTCTATAAGAATAATTATCAATTAGAGGATAACCTGTGAAAAACTTCTCTGAGTGGTTTAAATTTAAAAGATACTTCACCAAATTGCCAGTATTGATGAAAACATCAGTGTCTGTCTTCATGATGTACCTGGCGTTGGGGCAAAACTCAGTTACCCACCTAAATGCCATAATCGTTTTCAAGGTCAGGTTATTGTACGTGTCTAAAAAATCTTGTCTTATTATGTCGCCATAAAGGAGGTGTTCATCCTCTAAGGATAATGCTAACATTTTGTCTTCTCTTTCAGCCTGCTGGCCTAATAAGAAAAATGTAAGAACCTCATATCCCCACCAAGACTTCTTTTCACCCCAAGTAACTCTAACGGCCTGTCTGGCTTTCACATCTGAGGGGTTTGAGGTCACCAGGATGACCAGAAATGGGTTTTGATGAGAGCAGTTCGAATGCTCTCGAAGTGTGAAGCGGAAGTCTTGTCTGTAAATGGGCTCATACTCGTAGAAGTACATCCAGTTCACGCGTTCTATCACATTGTAGTGGGGAAGACTGAGGTACCACATCACCAGGAAGCTCAGGAGTGACAGCAGCAGGAGGCTCCATTTCAGGGATCTCAGCGACATCCTACCCGGAAGAGTGGTCAGGAGCGCTGGGGCCATTCACAGCGACTCAGGAGCACGCGAGCCTCGGGTTCTGGAAGATTTATCAAAGACCTGCTTAGCATGCCCCACCCAAAACACATTTTCAAATGATACCTGATCATCTACTTAAGGAAGAAGAGTTGGGAGAACAAAAGCTCCAAAGCAAAACCAAAAATCCTGACCTGAATCTACTTAACTTCATTTAACTAGAAGCAAACAGATACCAACAACCAAAAGTATATTTCAGCTTTTTACATCAAGACCAATGTTAAAAACATATCCTCAATTATTTGAGGAAAATTAATACTTCTTGTTTGACCTAACTGTTGAAATAATTCTTTACTTCTTTTTCATAATGGTAAAGAAGAGAAGCAGTTTGCTTTATTTTTTACTGTAGATTTATCTTGTAACTCCCCCATTACTCATCTTTTTCTGTCCCTCTGGATATCTAGAATAAAATCATTAATGCAAAGAGATATTATCAGCAACATGTCCAAAAAAACCAAGGGTCTTTCTCAGCTGTGTGATCTGATGTGAATTCTAGCAAATCCGGAGTAAGAAAAACCCAACAGCTACAATTATTCACAGTGATCTGCTTGATATGGGATGAGATAAAGGTGGAGATGCTTCCCCTGAAAGGTCAGGCCTCTAAACACAAGAAGAGTAACCATCTCTGGAGTTTTCAAATGCACAAGACTATAAAACAGCTTTTACCTGCCCCAAATACCACCCCAGCCCCCTTTCTACCTCACTAGCTGAACTCAATGCTCAGTTTGGACAGCAAGTGCTTAAATTAAAGGCCTGTCCATAGTATGAGTTTTTGTGAGTTTCCCATTCTAAGCTTACTCCCATCTAATCTAATCTAACTTCCCTGTTCAGAAATCCTGCACCAGATCAGAATCATGGGATGGAACCTCCTAGAACACTTGCTTTTACAGGGAACTTCTAGCTGAGACAAGAAAACTGAGCTAGGAGACACGGTGCATTCACGGTCGCAGCCTCAGCTCTGCTTTGGATCCCAAGGATAAGGTTGGTTTACAATTCGGGATCCCACAGGGCTTTCCTGGTGCCATGATCGTGGGCCTCAGTCCAAAGACATTCATGTACTAAGTGTTTACTAGAACTTCAACATCCACAGACTGCACCAGGCACTAAGGAGGCCACAGGAAGAAGGAAATGGGAGGAGTGCAAATCCCAAGGCAACACATAAACATGTCACAGCAATGCAGTACAGACTGTTTACATCAAATGCTAAAGAACTTCAGAATGAGGGACAGATCAACAACATGAAGGGCAGGTTGAGGAAGCTTCTGACCATGCCCTTTCACCCACAATCAACTGGGGGAGAGATCCTGGGAACCCAGAATTTGCTGTGGAGGGCATACATTAATGTCATTATATGGAAAGGCTGGTCTACCAAGGGTTCTACCTTGGGGCAATCTTAGGTCTTTGGACATACAGTTCTTCTGCCTCTTAATACATATAAAAATGACAGGATCTCAAGACTCTTTGTCCTTTCCCTCTGGCCATATCTTACCTGCCCTGATTACTTCTTGCTACAATATCCTTTCCTACCTCTAATGTTTTTTATATTTTAAGTCACACAGTACAATGGAATGTTTCGGCAAACTCTCTAGTTCGGTTTCATGTATATGTGTCTTGCCTTTCCACTTATATTCTACGACCTTGTCGGAAAGAACATTTTTCTTTTGACAAGAGTCAAAGTACAAGACAGAGACCTACAGCAAGAGTGCAATGAACACTGACCTGTCTGATCTGCTATTTCTATTTGTATAAACAAAATGTAGGTCTATCCATCCCACCCCATCCTCCTTTCTCCCCCTTACTAGCCTTACACAGCTAGCTCCCAGAAAAAGCTGAAGCAGAATAGACCTAGAACGAGAATTATGGAAGGAATTAATATCTTCTTACACTTTCTCCTCACCTGGCTACTAGACACAGCACAACCCTAGGGAGCTCCATCTAATCTCAGCCATCGATGACCTGTACATTTATTACAACTGTTATCAAATGGCAGTTTTACTTATTCTAACAAATTGGCACATTATAACAAATTTCGGACAAATGGAAGGAAAGCATCTGAGTAAGGGGCTTCATGTATAACTGCACACAGGCAATGGAGGCCCGGCTACTCTTCAATAATGGGAAGAACTCAAAAACAGCAAATCTTACTATAACAGTTATCCTATATGCATTCTACAAGCCACAGTTCATAAATGTGAAATTGTGTCTGTAGTTATGATGTCTACTGCTTATGGGCCTATGAAGAAAATAAAGTAGCAGCAAAAAGAACAGGAACTATCTATTCCAAAAGTGGGGGAAGGTCTTTGAAGGACTGGCTGGAACAGACTTCAGGTTACCCACAACACAGGTGGCTCCAAAGGCAGAGACCAGAGCCCACACCTAGTTCTGTCCTTTGCCAACCAGGGAGAGCTACGGGTATGTTATTTACCTCCGGAAGCCTCAGTTTCCTCATCTCTACAGAATGAAGATGTTAATACAGTGTGAATTAACAGATGGCCCGTGTCAGGTACGCAACAAACAGAGGCTATCGTCATGAGCCGTGTTCTATGCTTTGCCGCTATTCCATCCTGTTTATGTTCACTAAATTGATTTTTATTGTCAAAAGGGATTATCCTAAAGAAATAATCTTGATGAATTCTTCTTACTTGATGAATGTTTCGAAGCGTCAAAAGATTTTATTTCTTACCTTCTTGATTTATTTCTTCTGAGTGAAAGACCTTCAATTTCATCAACTGAACATTCAGTAGCAAGTAGTAGTCAAAAATAGTGCTTGAAATTTCTGTAAGATACATAAGAAACTTAACAGCATCTACTTATGGGTCAGGGAATTAGACGTCAAAGAGGGGAACGGAACCCCTTCCCCATTCCAATTTCTTTCTGAACATATGCTGAAATAAAACGTTAAAAAAAGCCCACGAATCCACAGAATTCAGAGAGTTCATGGGTTCATCAGGGAAGAAGAGCACTTGGTATTCAAGACGTAAAACCTCTAAGTCCTCACGTCAGATGGTGTCTTATGACATCCTACCACAGTTCCACTTCCCTGGATAAAGAACTCAGGGTCACTAAAAGAAGTGAAACACGAAACTTCTAAGAGACACTCTGCTGGTATCCTCTCTTTAATTCTCTGTTCCATACACATACACAGAAGGTAACCCTGACATGAGACTGTCAACTACCACTTCCCAATCCACTCCCTCCCCTTTGAACCTCTACCTCTACTTACAAATACCCAAGACACATTAGTAAACGGAAAACTATGAAGCACATCTCAATTCCTGCCATGCTTTAGGATGCTCATATATTGATTTTCATCAGTCAAATTTAAAAACCAGAACAGGATGTGACAAACAGGAAGGCACTGATGTGTATCACTCCTTATACCAAAAACACTCCAAATGGATTAAAGATTCAAATGGGAGAAAAATAAACTGCTAGGAGCACAGACACACAAAATATACAAATGAACATTTAACAGTTTTGAAGTGGGGAAGAACTTTTAGTTATCCCAGCTAGGGAAACAACCCAGAACTCATAAAGGAAATTTTGATCAAATAAAAATTTCATAAAGTTCTTGAACAAGGTTGAAAAGCAAAAAAAAAAACGCGATAAAAAGCACAAACAAGGTTAAAAGATTAAAAAAACAAACAGGGAAAAAATAAGATATTTATAATAATTAATAAGCCAAATAAGAGTTCATACAGCTTAATAAGAAATGGATGAATGCAAAAAGAGAATAAACAGCCAAAGGGGAAGTTCTCAAAAGAATTACAAATGATCGCTAAAACAAGAAAAGATATTCAAACTCACAAGGAAGCAGAGATATTGACAAAAATCTCAAACTGGAAAATTAAGGGGGAAAAACGACAATACTTAGTTTGTGTGAGGAAAAGAGGCATTCTTGTGCACTTTTGGAGAGATTTATTAAACACGTATCAAAGACTTGAATGTGCACACTCTTTGACCAATATCACTGCTAGCAATTTATCTTAAAGAAATAATCAGGCAACTGTGCATAATTTATAATATAAAAAATTATTTTAAAGTCTCCCAATAGGGAATTGGTTAAACAAAATTATGATACATCCATACAACGGCATACATTTATTCATTATATGCAATGATACTTAGCTATATTCTCTTGATATATTACTTAGTGAAAAATGCAGTAGCAAAATTGCATATGTAGTATGATTCCTTTTGAAAGATGAAAAGACAAGTCTCCAGAATCCACACAGCCACACATGCAGAGTAAGATGTCTGGAAGGATGTGTCCCAATATGTCAATGGTTTCAATTCTATGGACTTCCTGGAAGATTTCTTTCTCTCTTTCTTTTATCATTTGGATTTTCCACACTATTTGTGTACTGTCTTTGTAAATAGATAAAAACAAAGTAAAAAAATTGGACTTCATGCTTGCGTATCTCAAAGTTCCAATGAATGGGAGTAACCCTAAGTTAGCAGTTAGGATCCCGAGTTTCACCTTATCTCACCTCTTCTCCCAAGGTGTGAGCATGTACAATTCATGATATTTCTAGTAGGTATTATTCTCTTTTGTCTCAGTAAATATTAACTAAGTACAGTAAGCAATGATTTTTAAAATCCATTCAAAACACTGTAATTCTAATATGACTCTAATAGGATGTATATTAGCTAATAATAATAGCATTACGTACACACACAAAACCGTTTATAAAGTATTTCAACAAATTTTATTAGTTCCCCCCAATAACCCTATATTGTGGGCCAACTGGTTTTACTGTACATATTTTACAGGTGAATTTTAGAGTTCAAGTAAAATGAAGGTGAAATAAAAACACTGTGAAATGGACTAGGACTTATAAAGTGCACAAACTCTAGCTAAAAGGAGTACCAAGGGAATGTATTTTAGTATGAAGAAAAATGAACTCAGGAGGAAGGAACGGAATTCAAGAAACAAAGGTAAGTAAAGAGATTATTGAAAGATAATGAAAACTAATAAATATACATAGTAGAGAGAGAGAGAGAGAGCAAAGAACAAAAACAGTGTTTTTTGGTGTGGTTGAAAAAGTGAAACCAAAATACTACATAAAAATGATGTGGTTGCTTTAAAAAGAGTTTCATTTAATAATGTGTATTAATCTTTAGAGTGACGACCCTGAAAGAACAGATACTGAACATATACATTCCACACAGATTAAGAAATAAAAGAAACGAAGCAAGCTATCAACTCAACAGAGGGCAGGAAAAAAGGAAAAAAGCAGAGAAAATGCATGGCAAATGGAAAACCACAGAAGGAGGTGGCGAAAGTAAATTTAAATGCATCCGATATCAGAGTAAATATAAACGTAAACTCACCTACTGAAAAACAGACTCTCAGATTGGCTTAAAACTCTGCCATATACTACTTATAAGATACATGCCTAAAACAAAACAACACAAGAAGTTTAAAAATTAGGAAATTTTTTAAAAATCAGGAAAATGCCAATCAGAAATCTGCTGTAGTTATTTATTAACCTCATGTATTTAAATGAACAGCGTTTAAAAGGGACAAGGAGATTTTGTTACTAATAAAAGGAACCAACATATACATTCCACACAGATCAAGATAATTTAACAATCATGAAGCTATAGAAACATAGAAACAGTCTCAAAATACATAAAGCCAACTCTGAAAAGTATGAGTACAAATGGGAAAATCTATAATCCTAACAGGAGATTTTTAACAAATCTCTCTAAATAACTAAATACATCAAGCAGAAAAAAATAAGGATGGAAGTGTTTCAAATAAAATTATTATTATTATTAATAGTCTTGATTTAGTACCTTTCATTCAATTAAAAAGAACAGGAATATTCTTTTCAAGACCACACGAAACATTTACTAAAAAACTGATCATGGGCTTCCCTGGTGGCGCAGTGGTTAAGAATCCACCTGCCAATGCAGGGACACGGGTTTGATCCTTGGTCTGGGAAGATCCCACATGCCGCAGGCTAACTAAGCCCATGCACCACAACTGCTGAGCCTGCATGCCACAACTACCGAAGCCCGCATGCTCTGGGGCCTGCATGCCATGACTACTGAGCCTGCATGCTGCAACTACTGAAGCCCGCATGCCTAGAGCCCATGCTCCTCAACAAGAGAAGCCACCGCTCGCTGCAACTAGAGAAAGCCCGTGTGCAGCAACAAAGACCCAGTGAGCCAAAAAAAACAAATATATAAAAATAAATAAAATGATTATACTAAAAAGAAAACTGATCATATTAGGTTACATAAGCTGTCTCCAAAATTCAAAACTTAATTTAACACAGGCCCCATTATCTGACCACAGTATTATTTCAGCTTAACTACCAAAACATATCTTGAAAAACACATATACAAACAGACAAAAAATCCTGTCAGGAAACTCAAAACCCTTATACACCCAACTTTTGTTTAATCCATAAACTTAAAGAGGACACCACAGTGGTAATCATAAAATACATGCAACTGAATACCAGCAATGTATAACATTTCAATGAGGAAGATATTATACCAGTCCCTTACTTGAAAATTACTGGGGGAGAAGACAAGTCAAATTTTTTCTCTTGTTGTTTTGTTTTAAAGAGTGATTTGTAGTTCAGGGAAGACAAATAGCTCCAAGTGAAAAGGAGAACCTCTTCTTTATAGAAAACTGCCAATTATGAATGTAGATAGGATGACAGAATAAGAAATCATGTTGCAACCTTTCATGAAATTACTGATTCAGGCAATGATTATCAATCAGTGTTTTAATCATCAAATGGAAGATTGATGGGGAATTAGACATTGTATGGTACCAAAGTAACACCGCAAAGATTACTTTTTACTTGTAAGGACTGAAAAAAATATAAAATTCACAGTGAAGGAATGCTACCACTCTCATCCATCATCAATCTCAGCATAAATAATGGAACAAACACATATTATGTGTCTCCAAATGAGATACAATGTGAAGTGTACATCCTAGCCAAAATGTTTAACTGGAATCTAATCACATTTTATATGAAATACAGAGAACAGAAGAACAAGCTAAGAACTCCACAGGGAAACACTCCAACAAACCCAGGAGGTGGGGTGTTCTATGGGACAACTAGCATGGTGTCTACAGCTAGTCAATCCCGTAAAACAAGGGATGCCTCAATATTAAAAGAGATTAAGAGACATACACAATTGCAGTGTATGATCCCAGACTGGATCCTGGAGAAATTGAAGACAATGTTGATATTAGGTGATGTGAAAAGGATTATTTATTTTGTTAGGTGTGATGATGTTAACTGAAAGTGTTCCTGGGTAAATAAATGTGCTATATCCATACAATGGAATACTATTCAGCTGTAAAAAGAAACAAAGTACTGATACTTTGTTTGGCTATAACATTTTATTTAAGAATTCAGAACATGGGGATGGCTTCACTGGGGAATTTACCAAACATACAAAGAAGAACTTATACCAATCGTTCTCAAACTCTTCCAAAAGACTCAAGAGGAGGGAACACTCCCAAAGTCATTCTATAAAGCCACTATCACCCTGATACCAAAATCAGACAAAGCGCCAAAAAAGAAAATTACAGGCCAATATCTTTAATGAATATAGATGCAAAAATTCTCAACAAAATACTAGCAAACCGAATTCAAGAACACAAAAAAAAGATCATACAACATGATCAAGTTGGATTCATTCATCCCAGGGTCACAAGGATGGTTCAACATATGCAAATCAATCAATGTGACACACCACATCCACAAAAGAAAAGACAAAACCATATGATCATTTCAACAGATGCAGAAAAGGCATCTGATAAAATTCAACATACATTCATGTTAATAACTCTTATCAAAGTGAGTATAGAGGGAACATATCTCAACATAATAAAAGCTATTTTTGACAAACCCACAGCCAACATAATACTTGGTAAAAAGCTTAAAACCTTCTCACTAAAATCTGGAAGAAGACAAGGATGCCCACTCTCACCACTTCTATTCAACATAGTATTGGAAGTCCTAGCCATGGCAATCAGAGAAGAAAAAGAAATAAAAGGTATCCAAGTTGGAAAGGAAGATGTAAAAATTGTCATTATATGTAGATGACATGATACCATATATAAAAAACTCCACACAAAAACTGCTAGAACTGATAAACAAACTCAGTACATTAGCAGGATACAAAATCACCGTACAGAAATCTGTTGCATTTCTTTACACTAACAATGAAATGTGAAAAGGGAAAGTTTTTTAAAAATCCCTTATAAAATTGCATCAAAAAAGAAAAACACTTAGGAATAAACCTCACCAAGGAGGAGAAAGACTTATATATTGAGAACTATAAGACATTGATAAAGGAAACTGAAGCTGATTCAAAGAATTGGAAAGATATACCATGCGATTGGATTAGAAGAATTAATATTGTTAAAATGGCCATACTACCCAAAACAATCTACAGATTTAATGTGATCCCTATCAAATTACACATGACATTTTTCACAGAACCAGAACAAATAATCCTAAAATTTATATGGAATCACAAAAGACCCAGAATTACCAAAGCAATCCTGAGAAAAAAGATCAAAGCTGGAGGCATAACTCTCCTAGACTTCAGACAATACTACAAAGCTACAGTAATCAAAACAGCATGGGCTTCCCTGGTGGCGCAGTGGTTGAGAGTCCGCCTGCTGATGCAGGGGACACGGGTTCGTGCCCCAGTCTGGGAAGATCCCACATGCCGCGGAGCGGCTGGGCCCGTGAGCCATGGCCACTGAGCCTGTGCGTCCAGAGCCTGTGCTCCGCAACGGGAGAGGCCACAACAGTGAGAGGCCTGCGTACCGCAAAAAAAACAAAAAAACAGCATGGTACTGGCACAAAAACAGACATATGGATCAATGGAACAGAACAGAAAGCCCAAAAATAAACCTATACACCTATAGTCAATTAATCTTTGAAAGGAGACAAGAATATACAATGGAGAAAAGACAGTCTCTTCAGCAAGTGGTGTTGGGAAAGCTGGACAGCCTCATGTAAACCAATGAAGTTAGAACACTCCCTCACACCATACACAAAAAGAAACTCAAAATGGCTTAAAGACTTTATATATAAGATTTGACACCATAAAACTCCTAAAAGAGAACATAGGCAAAACATTCTCTGACATAAGTTGTAGCAATATTTTCTTAGGTCAGTCTCCCAAGGCAATAGAAATAAAAGCAAAAATAAGCAAATGGGATATAATTAAACTTACAGGCTTCTGCAAAGCAAAAGAAACTATAAACAAAACAAAAAGACAAATTACAGACTGGGAAAAATATCTGAAAACGATGTAACTGACAAGGGCTTAATTTCCAAAATATACAAAAAGCTCATACAACTCAGTTACAAAAAAACAAACAACCCAATAAAAAAAAAATGGGCAGAAGACCTAAACAGACATTTCTCTAAAGAAAACATATAGCTGGCCAATGGGCACATGAAAGGATGCTCAACTTCACTAATTATTAGAGAACTACAAATCAAAACTACAATGAGGTATCACCTCACACTGGTCAGAATGGTCATTATCAAAAAGTCTACAAATAATAAATGCTGGAGAGGGAGTGGAGAAAAGGGAACCCTTCTACACTGTTGGTGAGAATGCAAACTGTTGCAGCCACTATGGAAAGCAGTATGGAAGTTCCTTAAAAAACTAAAACTAGAGTTACCATATGATACAGCAAACCCGCTCCTCATCATATATCCTGAAAAAAACTCTAGTTTGAAAAGATACATGCACCCCAATGTTCACAGCAGCACTATTTACAACAGCCAAGATGTGGAAGCAACCCTAAATTTCCATTGACAGATGAATGGATAAAGAAAATGTGGAATACAATGGAATGCTACTCAGCCACAGAAAAGAGTGAAATAATGCCATTTGCAGCAACATGGATGGACCTAGAGATTATCACATTAAATGAAGTCAGACAGAGAAAAACAAGTATCATATGGCATCATCTATATGTGGAATCTAAAATATGATACGAATGAACTTATTTACAAAACAGAAACAGACTCACCAACACAGAAAACAAACTTATGGTTACCAAAGGGGAAGGGGGATGTGGGATAAATTAGGAGTCTGGGATTAGAAGATACAAACTACAATATATAAAGTAAATAAACAAGTTTCTACTGTATAGCACAAGGAACTATATCCAATATCCTGTAATAAACCATAATGAAAAAGAATATTTATGTGTGTATATATATATATATATGTGTGTGTATATATATATTTATACACACACACACAGACACACACACACACATACATATATATAAATGAATCACTTTGCTGTACACCAGAAACTAACACAACATAGTAAATTAACTACACTTCAAGAAAAAAAAAAAAGAATTCAGAAAATGGGTGAACC